ACGTGGCAAAAGAAATGTCTTCATTTATGAGAAAAATATGACCTACGATGAGCAGGTTTGGTAAGAATAGAGAATACTAGAGGAATGCAAAGGCAGGTATGTGTTACAATGTTATCACCTATGACCATGTAGTAAGCATAGATTAACACCTTGAAATATAGTTAGTGATTCTAGTGTTGGATAGGCCTCCTTTAAGATTACAACTTTTTGTTTTAAGGAGGCACAGAGAATTTGCTTTCCTAAAATCAAGTTCTTTGTGGATATTTGAACTTTGAAACCCAAAAGCTTTTGGCAACCAAAATTACAGGTCTCATTGTAGGCTTTAGCCACATGCTACTACAGTATTTTCTTCTTAGCTCACAAAGATAAGCACCGGCACTCATACTTTGATCAGATAAAAGATCGTTTGACTTTCAGAATAAGTAAGCAAAAAGAGTCCCAGGAACAACTCTTCTGAAAATTTAACAATGTATTTAAATATGAATTTGTTGCATGTAACTTTTTTTTTAATACTGGGGTTCCTAATTGCAATGTATTTGCTACACATGTTTTTGTATTGCATTTGGCCTGATCGCTGAGGTATTTACCAGATTTTCAGTTAGCTTGCTTTTGCATTGTGAAATTTCTCTGGATGCTTAATTTTTTTCTTAGTCTGGTGCTCAGGGGGAAAAAAAAAATGGAAAAATCACAATAGATCTTGCTCATTTCCATTTCTTTGCTTTTGTTTTACAGGAGACACATGAAATTGTGGCTATCAAGAAATTCAAAGACAGTGAAGGTAACCTTTTCTGCTGCATAATCTTTCATGTCAATAACTACATTGTTAATATCTCTCCAGTTAAAATAAGAAGTCTCATATATCAAGACGTGATTTAAAAATGATAATGATTTATTAGCTCTGTGAATATTCAAGGCACTTGATCCTTCATACCTGCCTAGGGACTGCATTATACACTCCAGCTAGATAACTACCTTTCTTTCTTGGTGCATCTGTCTTAATATGGCTCTGATTGTGGTGCCACACATGGTAGTAAGATCTATCACTTGGAGACTGGATGTGATTAGAAAATGGCAAAACCTCCTCTTGTAGTAGTGGCTTGTAGAGTCTTTGGACTTTTTCGCCCTTTGTCTGTGGGAGGGAATCATTAATGTTCGGAGGACTTGAAGAGGTAAATGGAGGAAACTGAGAGAGGTCACTGAGAAGTTCAGTGTCATGTAGAGGAATCGGAGAGCTCTTGGGGATCCATGAGATGATTTGCGGGAGCTGGGTGGCGAGGCAGCAGCTCTGCCCTTATTTCAGCAGGCTTCATTCTCCACAGGAAACTTGCTCTTTGCCCCGTCACAGCAGCCTCTGTGTACTCTTCAGTGTTGCCGAGTTTGCTGAGTGGGGGAAAAAGCTGACTCCTGCAATGTTTACTGTTGCTGTCATAGTGAGTGGCAGAAGGCAGGACACATGGAAACAATTGCCAGTGCTGCACACAACTATTCCTCACCCAGCAGCAATAAAACCAAAGATCTGTACAACGCAAGACTGGCTCTCTGACCTGTGCTTGTTGGAGGACAGTGAATCCAAGTATCCTGTCATAGGCAAAACTGGCAATCAACCACAAGAGCAACCCTCTGTCTTGCATACATATGAAGCTAGCCCTGATCCCTAGTGGGCTAGCACAAACAGAAGGAGAAACCATGGGTGAAGTGATAAGAGGAGTCATCCCGGCCTGAGGCAATGAAGCTATGATTTGCCATATACCAAGGCTTTAGCTGAAAGCTAACTGTGTGGTTTAAAGAAACAGCAGACAGTTTATTTTAGCAAACTGTTCTTTTTTGTTATTGTTCTATGATTGCTGGTGGCCATGGAGGTATGGCTGGTTACAAGGACTGTAATTTTCAGAGTCAGTTAAACACAGCAAAGTCTGATTTGTGTCTGTCGTTTTATGCAGTGCAAATGCTTGCTTAGCAGCTGATTTTGCCAGACACTTCAAGGGTATATTTGATGAATCTTTTAGCTCTGCTCTTCAGAAATCTTTTTTAAATCCCTGCTAAAGAATGTAGGAGATCATTTAATTGTGGTTACAGTCTTGATCAGGTCATTAGAGTACTTCAGAATTGCTTTTTGAAACTAAATAGGGCTTTTCAGTACAGATCTTAAGCAATAAATCCCAGTATTAAGCCCTCAATAGGATTATTATATTAGGCTGTCTACTAAAAAACGAAAACAAAAAATATAACGTTGCTATTAAGCCTGGCTTTCCAACAGTATTACATAATATCAGTTTACATGGCTGATGACTGCTTTTCGGAGTTGTAGCCAGTTTCTGGAAATAAGACAGAAGTTCTTTTGATGGATTTGATTCAGCCCATTTCGCATCTGTCTTGTTAATATGGTAGTTCATTAGAAATCTGAATATACTGTAACTGTTTCTAGTGCCATTTTTGTTTCACTGAATTTTTGCTGTTGTTTGGCATATGCATGCTAAATGTGCTGGAAAGGGAGTATCTAGCTATAGATTAAATTATGTAATCAGACTGATGCAAACCAACACCGAGCACTCAGCTTTACAATGAAAGGATTTAGATTGCTCTAAATTATACATTTTTAATCAAAACATTTGTGATGATAGTATTTTGTTTTCCTTTTCCCTCCTGCTACACTTCAATTTTTTTTTTCTCTCTTCTGATGATGATTACATGCATTGGCACGACCTGTGTTATTCTCTCTCCCCTGCAAACCTGTTTTTGCCTTTGATTGCTTGGAAAAACAATTTCTCTTCTTTGTTTCTTCTTCCTCTGTCGCTGACTGTCTTTGTGGTACATGATTTGCAAATGTGATTTAGCTTTGAATTTACGCAGTCATATCCCATTTAATATCCTTCTGTTGTGGATAACAGTTCTGAGAGATTAAGAACCCTGCTTCTACATGTTCATGGGCAAATTTACTGAATTAATGGATTTCATTTTACTAAATGAAAGATAAATAAATAATTAAATTTGTTTATTTGACATTTAATTGGTAGTATCCTCTAGAACCCAGTCAGTTCAGGATGCCTTGATGACAGGCTGTGTAAAAAGCTTTAATAAAACACTCCTCCTTTCTTGAACAACTTTCAGGCAACTAAATTGTCAAAACAACAGGTAAATTTCTTGAGCCCTCAGAATCAGATTGAAGGCTTCTCTTCCTTGCATCAATACTTGCTCTAGTGCCCTCTGTGGCTGCGATGCTGGTCTGCATTACTGAATTTCCATTGAAAGCCTTGTGGGGAAACTTCCTGGACTTACAGATCTGTGCTTCAGTCTTAAAATTTGTTATGGCTTTTGGAGAATAAAATTATTTTAGAATCAAATAGATTTCTTTTGACATTTTTCAAAGTGAGCTTTGCATTCCAGTGTTTCTGCTGAGGACATTATCCTTGCCATTGCTTCATGCATGTGACATGTATTTTGGGGGTGGAGGATTTGTCTGTACACACACATGCATATTTTTTGAAGCCTATGAAAGAGATAGAAATGCAAGTGATGTTTCTTATTACTTTTTCTGTCACTGAAAACCTAGATGGTAGTGATGGCAAGTCTGTGAGGGTTGCATGATGATAGCAGTCCCCAGTTACCTCTCTTACAGTACAGAAGTATCCAGGCAGCAGAGTGAGTCCACACTGGAAGATAAGCCTTTTCCTTTCTCATATCTAGAAAGAGAGAATTTTATCAGGGGTTCAAAATAAAGTTTTATAACACTTCTTCCTTGTGATTTTTGGTTTTGTTTTTTAGTAATTTTTACTCTGTCACTTTTACTTTGCACTCTAGAAAATGAAGAAGTCAAAGAAACCACTTTACGAGAGCTTAAAATGCTTCGCACCTTAAAACAGGAGAACATAGTGGAGCTGAAGGAAGCCTTCAGAAGAAGAGGAAAACTATACCTAGTTTTTGAATATGTGGAAAAAGTGAGTTTGTACTATCTTTGCCACTGTTAAATCATCAGCTTTTACTGGGAAAGTTTTAAAATTACTTTTACTTTTGAAAATTAAGCTGTTCTAATTTATAAAGAGGAATAGCAGAAACTTTAATAGAATCTGAATGGTTGCAATTAGACATTTATTGTGAGAAAGCAACACTGATACCTTTACTATTGTTTTTACATCGTGTGTTGGTATTTAAAAAAAGTTCTTCCATATATGAACACAAACATGTTCAAATTATGTAGACTGGAATACATATCGTTTGAAGAAAAAATCAGTCCGAACTCTATAGTCCAGTTTAATTGTAAAGCTGGTTAACTGTTCTGTGTTATGTTGTGTAATGGATCCTGACATAGGTTTTCAAAACAGGATCATAGAATTTTGACCTTGGAATCTGTTTCAACTTTCTCCATCCTTTCCTTTTAAAAATGGGATTTGTTTGTATATTTCTGTAACAATAGTTGCTTGGAAGGATTTGGCAAAGATCACGGTCATGATTTCCAATCCTGACCTCATTTGAAATGATTCCAAAATTTTCTTAGATTGACCTACTACTGCCAGGGATCTTGGTCTGTTTCCAGGGAGAAACAACGTAGAACAGATTGGTCTTTTCGTTATTTTTGCAACCTTCGTGATGAAGGTCTTCCCTCTGAATTCTAAACATTTATCATTTCTTCGTGGAAATAATTAGATGGTATTCAGATACATGTATTTAAGCTTGCATTTATTTTTACTGTGTGTATCTCTGTAGCTTTCATGAGATATTGTTCCCTTGATTGAAATTTTCATTTAAAATCCTTTCAGTGTTATATTGCAGTCTGAGTTCTAGTCCTCTTCAATTCTCTCTCATGTAAAGATTCCTCACCCTAAATACTGCATCTCCTTTACCTCAGTTTACAATTTATTATGTCATATAACTTTATTGCATAATGTGAGGTGACCTATATTAGCCCACAGTTTGGCAGAAATCAGTTTTGGTTTTCACCAACAGATCAGTAACTTCCAGTGTGGTGGATCTTACTTAGATCTGATGTCCAAAGCTTGACTTGTTCCACCCATGTCCTTTGTAGTTGTTCCAGACACGTGGAATGTCTTTGATCACGCACCAACTTAAAACATACATTTAATTTTGTATTATAGTTGACTTGGCTAAGCTCGCCATAGTAGTGGGTTGAAAGAGCAGCATAAGCAAAGGACATTTCATTGACCTGAGTAGTAGTAGACTTCAAAAGTCATTAATATTGGTAAAAACACCAGGCTGCAATATATAACATTATTTGCATCAGAATAAAGGAATATAATGATTAAGATAAACATAATGTATAGTGTGTGCCTAATGTCATTTCTATATTAATGGTCACCTTTATTTTCAGTTAAACTTCACAGTACATGTATGTTTCTTGTTTTCAGATATGCCAGATAGTTTCCAAAATAGTTTATTTGAAGACCAGGGGGTTTTCTTTATTTTTGAATGAGGGAGGGGTAGAAGGAATTAAATACAAGTGGCATGTTAGGCTAATTTTTGTTTTAACTGGTGATGAGCACCTTGTGGCCTTCAGGGAGTCTCAGCTTTGCAGTACTCAAATCCAGATTACTTAAATTCACACTTAGTCTAATCTCCTTTACTGATCATCCCCCTTCCTTAATATCTTCATATAGAATTATGTCTCGCTGTGTTGATGCTACTATTCTAGTTCATATTTGTAACACTAACTTCTTGACTTATAGACACACAGGGTTCTGTGTGGACAAGTCTAACTAAAATCAATATGGTTCCTTAATAGAAACTTCCTTTTCTCAGATCTGAAGTGTATTTCAATTTAAATTCAAGCATATGAGTTCCAGTATTCATTCACAGATCGCAAAACTTAGAAATGGTTTCAAATACTTCCAAAGGTTCTACTTGGTTTGTCTTATATTTGTGTTCATTAAAATATCTTACAAGAGAAACCTCAAAAAATTTATTATACAGATAAATAAAATGTTTTTCAAAGACAAGGTAAATTTATTTTAAATGTAAATGTAAACATTTAAATGTAAATTTAAATGTAAAATCAGTACAAATGCTCAAATTATGTGTAAGGCAATATATTTCTATTTCAGTATTGAGTAAATAAGACTTTTCTGTTTTCAAGTGGGCTGATGCTGCCCATTATTGATTCGGTACAAACTCCATTGTGCTTCTAATTGTCCAAAATTGGAGACATTTGCTAACATAATGGAAATCTAAAAAAAAAAAAATATCTTTTTCAAAGAAGGAATTTACTGATATAAATAATCAGTTTATTTTTTCCCTAGGTATATCCATAGAACAGTTAATATTGCCATAGTTACTGTAGTGCAAATATGTATACGGTCAATATATAGACATAGGATACTCCCTAGGTTACTATTTATGCCCTTATGAGGCATTTTTATGTTACTTCATTTGCACTAACAGGCTCATGTTGCTTTATCTATACCCATTCACATACAGACATGGTTTGTGATTCATCATGGCTCTGCTCATCAAAGCAACAGAACTAGCTTAATAATGAAGAAAACAGAATGTTACAGCACAGCTGGATATTTAGAAAATGTTGCGCTCTAATAAGTTTTTCATAGAGCCACACTCATCTGGTGTTTCTGTTTAAGCAACTTTTTGCAACTAAATGACTTTTTAGAAGTTTTAGGATAAGTTGTTTGATGATAGTCTTTTAAGGACTTGTGGTATATTTGTGGTTCACCTGTAAGGTTTATTGTCCTGACAAGTGCTTTCTCTACAATGAAAACAGCTAGCAGTATGCTTATGATTAAAATACACACCTTGAATGTTAAACTACTGATTTTGCATAGCCGGGCTCACTGGCCTAAGTGTGTTGCTAAAGAATGCTGAAAGTGTGTTACCTTGTAGCAACTATGATATAACTCTTTTAAATAATGTGTCTCTTAAACATTTAGAATATGCTTGAATTGCTAGAAGAAATGCCAAATGGAGTTCCACCAGAAAAAGTGAAAAGCTATATCTACCAGCTAATTAAAGCAATTCATTGGTGCCATAAGAATGATATTGTTCACAGAGGTAAGTGTGTAGTTCTCCACATGGAAATAAGCCCCAGGTGGGAATTTGCTTTCTAAAGGGAAATATGTTACAGCTTGAAGTAATTTGCATTTAACATAAATATAAGCAATTGCTTTATAATGCATCCAAAGAAGGGCAACAGAGCTGGTGAAGAGTCTAGAGAACAAGTCTTCTGAGGAGCAGCTGAGGGATCTGGGATTGTTTAGCCTGGAGAAAAGGAGGCTGAGGGGAGACCTTACTGCTCTCTACAATTACCTGAAAAGAGGCTGTAGCATGGTGGGTGTCGGTCTTTTCTCCCAAGTAATGAGTGATAAGAGCAGAGGAAATGGCCTCAAGTTGCACCAGGGGAGGTTTAGATTGGATAAGAGAAAAAAATGTCTTCACTGAAAGGGTTGTCAAGCATTTGAAGGTGAAGCCCAGGGGAGTGGTTGACTCACCATCCCTGGAGGTATTTAAAAGACATGTAGATGTGGCACTTAGGGACATGGTTTAGTGGTGGACTTGGCAGTATTAGGTTCACAGTTGGACTCGATGATAAGGGTCTTTTCCAACCTAAGCGACTCTATGATTCTATATCAACAGGAAAAAAAACAAAACAAAACAAAAAAAACTTAATTTGGCTAGGTCCTAAGTCTACTGCATGACTTCAGATTGTTTTAAAAGTAAGTTCATCTACAGATAAAGCTTACTGTCCACTGTCTTTGGGGTATGAATAAAGATTGTATCATATGTGCAGCAAAATGAAATTGCAGTACAAACGTTGCCAGAGGAACAGGAATTTTTTTAAACATTTCATAGCTCTCAGTCATTTCACTTTTGAATCTGATAATAGAATATTAGGAGAAAAATAACCCCTCTGTTTTACTTCTTAAGGCAGTTGCTCCCATGCATTCAGCTCTGTATGTTTACTTTCTCCCCTAAACATCAAGTACATATCTTGAAGTGTGGATTTATCTAGTTTTATATATTTTATCCTGATTTAATAAAATTGTATTTTGCCTTGTGGCTTTGCAAGATTAACATTTCTAATTTATGTTTTTAATAAAATTGTCATACAATATGCTGTTTATATTTGAGACTGGTCAAACATAAGCAAGAGTCTGAAAATATTTTGTAAAATATAGTTTGAAAAAGATACCATACATGGATACCACAATACCCACATAGGAATAAAAAAACAGGCTTAAAACTAGACAACACATTTTTTCTAAACAAATTGGAAGAGGTGATCAAGATGATCATAACTGAAAATGTTGACCACAACATATTTAACGTTTTATTGGTTAACTGGGTAATTAAATGTTAGTTCTTTGTATTATTTTGCAGTACGCAATATTCTGCATATTGGTTTGCTTCCCAAGAATATCTGTAATCACCTTTTATCTTCCCATATTTTGTTGGGAAACACTAAAAGACTTTGAAAGGCAGAAAATAAATTCTGCATGTTCATAAACTGAATTGCTGGAAGCTGTTTCAGCAGTTGCTCTTGTAATGCTTTGTTTATGATTGCATGAATATCTCTATTTTATAATGAAATAATATTTGTTGACAAAGTTTGAAATTAAAAAGAGATGTTAACAGCATTTTTTTTTCCTCTCTTACTCTGATACTCCAGATATCAAGCCAGAGAATCTCTTAATAAGCCACAATGATGTTCTGAAGTTGTGTGACTTTGGTAAGTTCAATAGATAGATACCTGCTTCTTCTTTAAAGAAAATCTCTTGCAGTGGAGTTTTGCCTTATTCTTGTAAGAGTTCTACAGTATGTACTATTTAAAACCCTTTTAGTGGTCAGAATTGATTACTTCTTCAGGTTAGTGGCTAGTAATTTAATTTGAAAAATCTCTGGGCTTAATTTGCATACCTGTGAAATGCCTGTATTAACATGTCAATAGAAATGCTGCATTTATCTCTTCCTGTATTTTACAAGGTTTTTTACTAGGAGTTATTGGCACTCAGCTGAGAACAGTGCAAAAAAATACACTGATTAGTAGAGTAGCAAAACTGTAGGTTTATCTGGGTTGTGTATTAAACAAGAGATTGTTCTTCCTTGTTTAATAAAGACAAAATAAACTTATACTTTTAATATACTTTTCAAACTGCTTACATGGACTGTTATAGGTCAACTTTTATTGTTGTGTTCATCAAGGAATCTTGTGTCCACCTATGATTAATGACTGAATGGCTGGAGGATAGAGTCAGGATTGAATGTGTTATGTTAACTTTCCTGATTTAATCAAGATGCTTAATGTCAGCTGTAAGGCTTGAACAATCAGCAGCCAAGCACAAGGCGATCTTTGCCCATGTGAATAAATCCCAGAAGACAACAGGGCGAAACACTGTTCCAACGACCTGTGTTTTTATTCTAAATACTACATAAACACGGGATAAAATATTGTTCCCTCTAAAAAGCTTACAGTTTGGCTTGGTAAAAAACAATTCCATAGTGCTACCCAAGGGCACTTTCCAGTGAGAGCAGTTTGAAAGCTGTCATTTCAAACCTCTGCAATATTGAATGAAAAGAACTGTTAAAAAAATAGGCTGAAATAGTTTTTTAGGAACACAAAAACTGCATTTGTCATTTGTAGTCCTGTTTATTTCTTTTAATCCTAAAGGTGTTTTTGCTTAAGCATTCAGAAACGATAACCGTTCCAGGAAAAGCCTTAGAAGATTTGGTCCATATGAGTTCTTTGAATTGAGGGCAATTTATTCTGCAGTGTAAGAAACTGCACAGCTCTGACAGAACATCAGGGGACTGCTGAGTGGTGCCTTGCATGCCTTGGACATTTTGGTACCCACGGGCCTCCTGTCTGCACCTCTGTGGCCCTAGTAGCGTTGCCCACAGCCAGCAGGGCAGGATTCTTCCCTTACCTCACACTTATTCTCAGGGCCCTGCCCCTGCAAAGCAAACCCCCCTGGGGTTGGCAGGGCCACGGCTTTCCAGGGAGGTGAGAGCCGCTGTGGCATAGGCCTTGCTCCCTTTCCACCCCTTCAGCCCCTGTGCCAGCTGTGCGTGGTCAGGGGACCCAATCACTGCCCTGCACAGAGCTTAACAACCAATCAGGAGGCAGTGCCTGCCCCTTACTGTGCTCCAGTCGGGGCTAAAGGCGTCACAAGTAGGAACAGCCAATAGGGGCGTGAGCAGGTCCTGATGGGAACTGTTCACCTGTACCTCCTTCCTTGGCATGAGCCTTCCCTTGCCCTCCCTCCCTCCTTTTCTGGGGGGAGGGATGCCCCCCCAAAAGTAACATTCACCGTTAGACTTGGCATATACCATCAGCTAACAAATCTTTTTGTGTATGAACTCATGCCAACATCCTCTGTGCAGCAGTATTACAGGAAAATAAAAAGCCAGGCAAATGGTACAATCGCATTTTGGATGACAGGTTTTTCACTAGTTACAGATGATGTGAATTCTGTCAGCAGTGATGTTCTGGTCTGTTGGCTTGCTCCATCACATTTTCTTTCTGCTGTTGGAATAGACATACAATCACAATGTGCTTGCAGTGCTCAGCACAACCTCAAAAAAGGTGAAATAAGTTATGGGAACTGCTGTTGTTCCTAGTGTTCATGTGGGTTAGTTTGAATTTTGATCAATGTTTCAGATTTAGTTGAATTTAAAAATCCAAGCAACTCATATCATTTGGGATCAATTTTAATTTTTTAGCCTTATTTCTAATTGACATTATTGTTAGTATCTTAAGCTATTTCTGTAAAATGCCTGTCAGAATGGTATTAGCTACAAGTGTTTCCTGAAAATGTACAGATTAGGATATAAGAATTTGCCTTTTAACATGATGTAACAGATGCTGTCTGTCCGCCTAACTTAATTGATGTTTTGGAACACAGGTACTTGTCACATACAGTGCCACATTCCTCACGTGATAACAAATGCAAAGAAAAGGTCTATGCGTCCATCCCAATGCAGATATTGAAGTAATTAAGTGTTTCTGAATAGCCCAGTGGACAAAACAGTTTGAATAGAAAAGTTCATAAGTTTTTAACAAGATAGATCTTCATAATCCCTGTGCCGTGTGTTCCGGACATATCGTGCTAGATAAAAATGAAATTGAATGAGGTGCTTGCCTGGACACATGTTGTGTGGGTGTCATTTCTGCCAATAGAAGTGGAAAAAGAGACCAGTACAAAATGCCGATTACAGCAGATGCATCTGACTGTTGGAAATAGTTAGGCTTTCTGACTAGTGTTTTTGCTGTTTCAACGCCAGGGCTTAAAAATTACTTATTTTAGCAATCTTTTAATCTCTGTATGATGCATAAGCATAGAAATCGTGAAACACAGGACTGGAAAAGACCTCTAGAAATTCTCTAGTTCCTCTATCTACTCAAAGAAAGGATTAAGCATATCTTGACAGATGTTTGCTTAGCTTATTCTTAAAACTCTCAGTAATGGTGGTTCCCCTGTGTTCCTAGGCATCTATTTAAGTACTTACATGTCATTAATGTTAGAATGCTTTACTTTGTGTCTAACTTAAATTTGCCTTATTTCTCTGTAAGAAACAGACAATCTTTTTTTTCTCACACCTATTTCCCTGACATCTCTCCTACTCTGTTCTGAGTTGTTTAAAGTTCCTTCTTGAAATCTCTTACTTTGCTTGTTCTCCCTCCTTGTATTGTGAATGCATTTGCAAATTCTTTTGCTTTCATAGCTGCTCTCACCCAAATTGCCTTCTGTCTTCATCTTCTAATCTCTTCCTTCTCACTGTTTAGAGTTTGATCTAATCATCTCCCTAGTTACCTTCTCTTATTTTTGTATCAAAAACTCTTCCAAATACCTCAGCACAATTTGGAGGAAGAAACAACAAGCTAACTCCACCCCAACAAACAAATGAGTTATTGTGCCCTTAGAAAGGTATTATGCTTCCTTGAGTTATTAATTCAGTCCATCATCTTTCAGCATGTCACAGAGTCAGAGCAGTAGTGAATCTATACAACAGTTTCTTAAATCACCCAACAATATATAGATGATGCTGAAGCCTGTGATGATAATTCCCTTTCTGTCTTGCCACATCAAACCTGTTCTGCATCTAGTCTGTAAAGTAGGGGGCTGATCCTTTTCTCAGACTACATTAGCTGCTGCTGATCTCTTGACGTAGTAGCTGCTGACTATGACCAAGTTCCAGTAGACTGGCCTGGAGGTAGGAGGATGCATTCTTGACTTGTTGATTCTTCTGGTGCACCTAGGCTGGTGGGCTGCCAGGCTAGTGTGCGATATTAGCACGTGTTTATTTGTATCATGTGACACTTTCTCCTCCCTTCCCATGCCTGCAGTTTGGGACTTCCTGCTGTTCATTTTGGCTGTCCCATTTCTTCAGTGTAGCTCCTCTAAATATAGTAATGTTTAGAAATCTACCCAAACCCAGTGTTACATGTAAGAAAAAATTCCTTTCCAGCTTTTCTCCAGCAGCATCAGTAATGTTCATTAGACTTTAGGGAAACAAGTCAGAGTTGCTATTATTTTGGGACAACTCTGAAATATCTGTTCATCATCATACAGGCCTTTTAGTTTACTAACTCTGGAAGGTAGAGGTATCTTGCAAAAAGTAACAGCTGCAGCACTGTCCGTGGCAAATTGCTTTCTCAAATCACTAGTCTAATAATAATAATCTGCATCCAAACCTTTACTTCAACTTGGAGTAAATTAGTGTTCCACAAGGTGAGTGGGACTGGGCTGCTTCACACTTAAGCTGCCAAATGAGATACCCTTTCAGAATACTAAAAAGATACATTTTTGAAAATTTTGACCTTACACGCATAGTCGTGTGGGAAAAGCAATTTTGGCAGCTTCTGCAGAAGAACTCAGATATGAAGAAAAATGACTATTGTATTTAAGTATCACTTATTGATTCTGAAAATGAAATTATGCCTTATACCTCTGCAACACTTCAGAATTTTTATTCTTTCTTCATGATTCAGGCAATAATGGAAAGGCTCATAGTGATTTCACTGAAGTGAATTTTGGACCAAGTTTTAATGCCACATCCCAGTAAGAAAGCATTTTGAAAATGTTGCTTCTGCATCTCAGTCCCAAATATTTGTCTCTGAGCTCTAGTAAGGAGGCTACACATCTGGAGTCTTGCTGCTGAGATCTGTCTGTCCTCAGTCTCACCTTATTATTAATTATTTGTTTAAAACAGTAAGATAGTTGATACTTTTCTGCAAACAGTGTCAGCATCTGCCCTAGAGTACTTGTACATGAAGAATCCAGTAATATCATTACTGTGATGCTTGGCTGACTTTTTGTAAATGGAGGAGAATTAAAACAAAAATATAAATTATTCCTACATTTGGGTTTTTCAGAATACGCACTCTTTTCAGGGTCGGTGGTCTTAATTGTTATGCCTTAGGACAGAAGTTAAGTTTTGGTACAACTGCAAATAAGTATACTTTTTTTTTTATGCTTAAAGTGATGTGGAGGAGGAAGTTAATTTGGACTTGGTTTCTGATCCTAGTTAACTAAGAGCCTTGTTATGAATGTGATGCTAAAGCAGGTGGGAAGCTGACACATGCAGAATGAGCCAAATGCAGATATAAACCAGTTTTGCTGATCTTTGGCAGACTCTTGCCTTTTGTAGTTTTGGGGAAAAGACCCTGTTCCTTGGCAGGTCAGAGGAGGAGTGTCCGTAGATGAGAGTAATGCATAGTTTCTTGACCAGTTTAAAAAATTGAATCCAGTGAGAGTGTAGTAGTTAGGATCAGTGACTGGAACAGTCTGTTCCCTGTGCGTGTGTTATGTTTCTAATGTTATGAGTCTTCTTCTGCAGACAACATCTTAATGAAATTTTGTGGCTATAGTTCAATAGCTTGCATGCCATACTGGCAGGTACCTTTTATCAGTCTGTTTCGATTATGGCAAAGCACTAAAAGTAATAGGAAAACCCCATAGACTTCTGAGGAGAGTACACAAGTTAAGTATTCTTTAAAACAGTCATGTTGATGTTCACTGTTGTGTCAATAAAAGCTTGCATTTCAGTAGACAAGCAATTGTTGGAGACATCATTCTGCACTACGGGTTGTAAACAATTTGCTTCTATTTAAATAGGCGTGACCTCTTACTACCTAAATCAGAGGTGATATGCATGTTGTATTTAAAATAGGATATAATCTTTCACACTGTTTCTTTGACAGGCTTTGCTCGTAATCTCTCCGAAGGAAGCAACGCTAACTATACAGAATATGTAGCTACCAGATGGTACCGCTCACCAGAACTCTTGCTTGGGTAAGTACTGTTTGTAGAACTGCCATGACAAATCTTAACTGGTTGTTTACATTTTTTTCAAGTACCTTTTGTAAGTTTTACCCATGGAGAGCTGTGGTTGATTTAAAGGGAAGATTTCAAGAGGCTTCCCGATTTCTATTAATTTTTGTTCATTTCCAGTAAGTTGGCATGAATCATTGTCACATTGACCTGTCTTAAGTTGAACAGTGTTTAGCTGATTAAAATATGAAGCCAAATTAAAACTGATGTACTTCAGATTCCTGCCTCCCCATTCCTTTCAGAAGAGGTTTCTGTGGTAGTTTTGTAGCCTGAAATGTTCCATCAGCTTTGTGGACATCACATAGCAGTGGCACTGCAGCTTTCACCACACTACACTCCTAGTTCTCTTAATCCTTTGGGTCAAAGTTGTGGTTTGGTTTTCATTCCCAGTTGCCCTTTACCAGCACAGCTGAAGTGGCTCAGAAGGATGGTGCTAGCTTTTTACTACACTGGAAGGATTTATTGCGGGAGACTGTATGAATCATTTTAATAAAACACTGAGAAGTTAGTGTTGTATTGCCTGTGAAAGCAGCAGTTACATGAGTAGCCTTAGATAGTTTTACTCTTTTATTAATCTGTAAAATTACTGTTTTACTACCTCACAAGGTTAAACAGATTTTCAGATACTATATGAACAAATTCACAGGACCCAAAAGGGCAAAGGAAGAGACAAAAAAAAAATGGAGATCTACTACATGTGATCTTCCCATTACTATCAAGTTGAACAGTGCATTATTTTAAACTACATGATCACTCTCTAGACCACAATTCCTGTATGTATAGCATATATGTATTTATATATACATATTCTAGAAATAAAGGACTGCTAGCCACAGATATGAATCAAAAAAGTACTTATCACTCAAACGATTCTTTAAGCAAAATGTTTCATACTGCTGAGAAACAAGTCTTTGTTGGACATGTTGATTAACACTGAACTAGACATTTCTTGAATAGGTAAAGCATTAGGTAATTTTTCTGTCAATAAAGTCATCCCAGTATTCTTAGAGCTGTGCTGATCTTAATCAAATTGGTAGGCAATTGCCTTGTTATATGCAGAATAGTATGTTAAAGTTGCCATTAAAAACCTCAATGCTCAGTTTTTCATATTTTGGAGAAAACAGATATTTTTAAGCTTCCAGCAAAGTGCGTGTGTATGTGTTTGCATAAATATAAAAAAAGACTTGGAAAGAAAGCACCAATTGTGGCCTTTTCACAACATTTTACTCTTTGTCTGTAGTAGTAATGGGGATTTAGGAGGAAAGACATGAAAAGCTTGACAGACATAATATTAATCTGATCTGCAGTTTTTGAAACTTGTTTCATTATCAAAGGAAATTTAGCAGGAATCACATCTGTTTGTAATTGACTAAATTTGTTTGATTAGCTTGTAGAGAAAAGGGGGGTGTTATGTGTGTTTAATGCATATGACTTCAGCTTTGCTGGTAAATGGTTTTTAATGCCAAGTTTTTCTGGCACAAAATAATTTCTGTTTCTTGACAATCTGGTTGTATTTCCCAGACACTCATCTTACCAATTCCCCCTTCTCCTGCGTTTACCAAATCTTTATAAGCATCTAATATTCAAAATATTCCCAGGATTATTGAATATATACATTTTACCAAATGCAGTTTTACTTTTTCAATATTTACAATGTGTCTCAGAGACCATTCTCTTTTGCTGTAAAGTGCAATGATTTACATTTTAGGAGAGGAAAGAAATCACTGCCTTATTATTCACAGGACATCCAAAATCTCACTTTGAAGAGCCTCGAGTAACTGTTAGTGGAGTATGCTGTACCCTTGGATGACAAAATATTGCTAAAAGCCAGTAGATTTTAAGGCACACCAAATTACTAGATTCAAACATGTTCCAGAGAATCTAACCTGTGCAGATATAGACTATAGTACTTCTGATTTCTGTGGTCTCTCTGTCCTATAGGAATTATTTCATTTATCCAGCCACATCACCTTTGTGTCGTTTGCCTCTTGTGATCTGACAAGACTGATCCTGACAGTCAGTAGAACAGGAGTCTTGAGCATGCTTTTTCAAACAAAAAAGATGCAGTTTACTCTGACACTGCCTTAAGAAATGGGCATTTCCTGATTTGTTTCTGTTTGACTACAAAGTAGATAGTGGAAACTTCTTAAACTCTGATTCAGCTTCCTTTATTCTTGTGAGCAAGGAAAGGTAAGGGCCCCTCCCTCGAAGGAGTTTTAGCCCATTCCTCGGTTGTAACCTTAGCTTGTTCTCCAAGGCCCCAGCCTACAGCAAACTTTTCCCCATTTCACATTTCAGTGGAGAAACCTGTCTATTAAAGGGGTTGCAAACAAAGATGTGCTTATTTTTCTGTCATAATAAAAAGGTAGGGTTCTTAGTTGCATTCTCACAAACTGTTTTGCTTACAGACCCTCAGTTTTCCAGTACAGGCATAGAATATTTTAAGAGCAGATCCTTGGCTTTGGAGTCTGTTCTTTTCTGTGTTGCCTTTTGCAGCATGGAGAAAAACTAGTCCTTCCTTGGTACTCAGACCTGACTTCATGGGTGGGTTGTACTAGCAGCATCACAGAAAGACCAAACATTTTGTCTCTCAGCAAATCCACAAGTAGTCACTATGCGAGATTAGTAAGGGAATTACGAACTCACAGAGCCATTGTAGTAGTAGTACTTCAGGAGTTTTGGCATGCTCTGCTTTGCCACTGGTGGTTCCTTGCCAGCAGTCTATTCCAATGGGGCAGGCTTTGATTTTGTGATGATTGTTTGGGAAAGGACTGCAGTGTGTTGTGGCAGATTCTGAAAGGCAAATGGTTCTTGAAATTTTGGTGTCCTTCTTCAGCTTTCCTAGCTATTGTAGACTCTTGCACTAAGCATCTCAGTGGGCCTTTAGTTTCACTCACGCTATTGTCTGGCTAGAAACCTTTCTCATCTTCACCTAACTAAATCATCACAAGGGTTACAGGGTCCTGTGGCCAAGTACGCCCACGATAAAGTGAAGTAACTAATCATGAGTAATCAATGGGGAAAAGTCAGATAGTTTTTTCTTTAGGCTGAGTGTGTTCTCTCTCTAAATATCTTTAATCATCGCATAAGGAAGGCACAAAGGGAACAGATTTATGATAGGATTTTACATGTGCAAGTCCTGATGCTGTCTTATTCCAGAAATAGGCAAGTCAGCTGTAATTTTAAAATCTCTTGAAACAGAGGCTGAGTTGTTGGATTACAAGTTTCAAAAATAAGACACTCAGTGAAATATGTTTTCAGTTCAGTCTTTGTTCCAGTCTTTATTCTTTTTATATACTTTTTCTTTGACATGAGAAAAATTCTCCAGTCATTCTGCTCGAAACCTAAACATCCAAAAGAGATTCTTGGAATAAGTTCCATGTTTACAAATTTTTTTTACAAATTCAAGAAGCAAGAACTCGGGCATACAGAAAAATAGTTACTTCGGTCTATGGTGACAACAATGAAGGGCCAAAAGTATGTAATGCATTAGCTGTTGCACAATTGAGGTAGGCAGCCAAACAGGCTTGCCAAGGAACAGAACCTTAGAGTGAAAATCAGAAACTGCCCAAAAGGATTGTGTGTTTCTGCAGTGTTTGCGAGTTTAGATTGAAAGCTGCAGTAGTCTACTACTCTATTTTCTTACAAACTTCCATTCTCTACATTCCTATTTTCTGTCCTACATGTCTTTCAAACCATCCTCAAGCCCGTAGTTTCTCCTGAGTAGACTACCCATATTGCCGCCTCTTCCATTAAATACCCTTGTACATAGTCTCAAGAAAATGGTATAGCCCTCGCTGGTGTAATACTCAAACCACTTAAGTTTTGTTTCTGGTGAATTCCCTACACCTCTTCATTGATGACCTAGCTTATTTTGTCATTTGCAGTTTAAAATAGCAGGTGCCGTCCTCCCCACCACACAACACTGCTTGCACATAAAGAGACCACCCATCAGAATTTCTCGCTGAAACCCCACTAGTGGCTTTGCTCTAAAACAGGAATTACTTCTTTTATGATGCTTTCATTGCTTCCTCACCTGTGTTTTTTAAGGCATAGTTTTCAGGGGCATTCTGTTTTGTGTCTAATTAAAAGTTCACTGTATGAATGCTGAAACAAAGATTTCTTATCTTTTCTGCTTTCCCAGTGGCTGGACCCAGTATGCCTATCCCCCTATTAAGTTCAATGGAAAAAGAAATGTAATGCAGAAGTAGTGCACAGTCATTAACCCCTAGAGAAAAGGGAAGTTAGCAGCAGTTTAACTTGGAATGGTAACTGCTTGACAGTCAAAAAGATTAATCTCGTATGTAAAATTTTTCACAAAGGTAACCAGGTCCCTGAAGGTACTTCAGAATTCCTCTCCTGCCCTTTCAAGCAGCAATACATCAGGCAATCCAGGGCAGAAACAGAGGGCTTGGTGTTTGAGGTAGTTTCTTTAATATCAAAGTTTATTTTTCTCTGTTGTGAGGAAGTGGGCCATGGGAAATATGGCCGATAAATTGAAATAGCTCAGTAAGAAGACAGTGTCAGTGGGTGAAAAACATGTATGTTCATTTTACAGAGCCCCTTATGGAAAGGCTGTGGATATGTGGTCTGTAGGCTGTATCCTGGGAGAGCTGAGTGACGGGCAGCCCTTGTTTCCTGGCGAGAGTGAGATTGACCAGCTCTTTACCATTCAGAAGGTGCTAGGCCCACTGCCAGCCGAGCAGATGAAGCTCTTCTACAGCAACCCACGCTTCCATGGCTTGCGGGTAAGAGAAAGCTTTGTTCTTTTTTTTTCTTAATTTACTCACAGAGTATTTACACTGTTGTTTCTATTGCTGTAAAGGTTCTTTTCATTTACATTTTGCATTATCTATTGCATGTGTTTCTGTGTAGGTATAAGAGATATTTAGATTATAAGTCATTCATAATTCAAAGCAAAATTCTGATTACACCAATACTGAGTTTTACAAATATATTCAGTTTACTGTTAAAAATTGATTAAAGAGTTTCTTTCATTTCTTTGACTTTTTTGGCATGCAAATTAGCATTTATATGCAGCTTAGCATTACCCTGCCAGGTTTGCACTGTGAAGTTCAGTGGCATCGCTCTGTCAGTTCAGGGTGTGGAAAATTCATGCCTGATGCCTTCAGGCTACTATGTTGGAAAAATCTAGGCCATAGATGCCGCTATCCTGGGAGAAGAGCTTTTTACCTTTTGAGTTGTATTCCTGGGGAGTTGATGTAAGCCACGTGAGTAAAGAAGCTCTTCCTCCTGACAGTACTGTTCCCCTTTCAGGGGTTTGCTAATACCCTGCAATGACAGAGACTCATTGGTATGGAGAAGCTACTCAAGCTGGGACACGCATGTGGCACAATCCCAGAAGCAACATATAAGTAATAGATCTGTTATCTTTAACAATACCTGGCCAGTGATTGTACTTGTGTTTCCTTATAATTTGGTTTTGGTTGTCATTTTTTACTAATGAATGTTGCTTAGGTGAATTTATGATATCGATAAATGGTCTGAAATCATTAGTGTAAAATCCTATAAAGAGACATACAAAGGTTTTAGGAGACCTGATCTGATGAGAAAGGGAAAGAATGTCTTAAAACATGTTAAAGGTTTCTATAAGTTTAGTTTAGCTGATGATGATAAATAGTTGGCTTAAGGTGTTAGGACAAGGGTAGCTAATTCCAAAGATGTTTTGTTGAAGTTTGTAGACCCTCCATCAGTGGAGGGTTAAAAAAAAGACGATTAGACAAGTATTTCTTGCAAGGTCCTATTTAGATGCTGTTTAGAACACTGGACTGGATGGGATTTTCTATTTAAAAAAATTTATACCCCTCATCAGGAAAGCAGTGCTTTGAAAGTTGTAAGCAAAATAAATTACTGCCTCTTCAACATTATTTTACAGCAGTTCTAATTGTACAGTGTAATCTTACTTGCAGAAATACTCTGTAATGTCTTAGGATGAGAATGAAGTATCTTTGTTTTGTAGGTTTAAAATACAGTAGTTCAAGAAGACAGCATGGACCTAATCTGATTAGCACAGTGTTGAGAGTTATCAGACTCTGTCTCATCCTGGATCAATGGTTTATTACTTGGCCTCAGACATGTTGCTGCCGCCTTAGTCCCATCTGCAAAGTCCGGATACTAATGATGATAACAGTGATGTATGCCTTCTAATAGACAATAGGTTTTGAATACTGAACTAAAGTCTGAATAATGGCTTAAACATCAAAAATGCTACAGAAAATGTTGGTTCAGAATGTGATATTCATTAGTTAATTCGTGGAAAAAATTTATTCCATGCAATAAGACAACCTTAAAAGTACATTTTTCCTAATAGTGCTTAATAGTGGAAGATTTTCTGTTGCACAGTAGGTAGAATGTATGCTGGGTCATGCAAATTATTATTTACAAAGTGGATCTGGCACTGGGTGTTCACAAGATAGAAACTAGCCCATGATGTTGAATTGTTTATCCATATGTTTAGGCTTTGTGAATTTCTATGTTACTGCAACTGTGAGTACTACCATATTGTAGCATAGGATTTTAAAAATTCTAATGCGAACACTCCAGCACCGCATGCACATGTATACAGATGTACATTTGCAAACTTTCTCTCTTTTCTTCCTGCTCGTTTCCTCCATGCATATATATATGCATATACACATTTTTCCTCACTCCTGAGGTTTAGGGAGTATTTAGTGATCTCTTTTCAATCCTTTTGAGGAAGAAAATATAAATGGTATGGTGAAGGCCCAAGGAAATCAGCATGAGCTGGCAATGTGCACTTGCAGCCCAGAAAGCCAACCGTGTCCTGGGCTGCATCAAAAGAAGTGTGACCAGCAGATTGAGGGAAGTGATTCTTCCCCTACTCTGCTCTTGTGAGACTCCACCTGGAGTACTGCGTCCTGCTCTGGAGTCCTCAGCACAGGAAAGACATGGACCTGTTGGAGCAAGTTCAGAGGAGAGCCATTGAAGATGGTCAGATGGTTGGAGCACCTCCCATATGGACAGGCTGAGAGAGTTGGGGTTGTTCAGCCTGGAGAAGAGAAGGCTCCGGGGAGACCTTATAGCAGCCTTCCAGTACCTGAAGGGGGCCTACAGGAGAGATGGGGAGGCACTCTTTATCAGGGAGTGTAGTGAGAAGACAAGGGGTAATGGCTTTAAGCTGAAAGAGGGTAGATTTATATTAGATATTAGGAGGAAGTTTTTTAACTGTGAGGGTGGTGAGGCACTGGAACAGGTTGCCCAGGGAAGCTGTGGATGCCCCATCCCTGGAGGTGTTCAAGACCAGGCTGGATGAGGCTTCCTCTGGTGGAAGGTGTCCCTGCCCATGGCAGGGGGGGTGGGACTAGATGATCTTTAAGGTCCCTTCCCAACTGATCATTCTATGATTCTATAATATGGAATCAGAAAGTACCAATAGGCTTTGTGGAAAATGTGAGTCGTAATATAGGGCTGTAAATCTTTTTCTATGAATAAGTTATAAGCAAACCAGAGAATCTGAAAAATCCCAGTGAATAGCCATCTCTTATTACTGCTTTGCATGGCTTCGGCACATTCGCATGTTTCCATGATCATTCCAGATGTAAAATTTTCTTTATGATCATTATTCTACATGAAGACAAGAATATTTTGCCATTTTGTTCATGTAAAAAGTGGAGGAAGCATGGAGGCCTTGGTTCACCTAAGTTACTGTTGAGGATCAACATAGACTTGGATTTTAAAAAAATCCTCAGTCTACTACTTCAGTCCTCAGTAAACCACTTCAAAAGAAAGCAAAGAAAAAGAAAAATACAGAGACTATTTGTGAAAAAACACATTCAAACTCATGTTCTTTCATTTTCCTTCAAAGCTCACATAATGTAATTTATGAAAAGTAATGCCAGTACAGATGATGGGCAGCAATTCATAGTAGTCTAACACTTTTGCACATACGGTGCACGTGCAGTATATTTTGCTTCCAAATAAAATGCTTTATTTTGGAAATGAGTGTTTGCACTGGGTTGCTCTTTAAAGCACAGGTTTGAAGCTAGTATTTAATCTGAGGAAGGTGATTGTGTGAATATAAGCACCTAACTGTAGCAATCTCTATATATGTGAGAGCTGAAAAATGCACAAGTGAAAATAAAGGAATAAAGTCTTTAAGGTTTCGTGCTCATTGACATTTTAGACAAAACACATAGTTCTCTGTGCTTTTGTACTATAGTAAACTTCCACAGAAAATGTTTGTTTATCTTCATGTTTGTTGATTTTTTGCTGCTGTTGTGTGTCTTAATCACTGATTTCTGATGTTTTGTTGTATTTTCAGTGATTTTTAACTATCATATACTGTTTTATGTGGGTATATTTTCTGTATGTGAGCCTATTTGGACATACAGTGATGGCTCTTACGTACCAGCAGACAAGAACACTGCATGCTTTCTATTGTCAGTATTCTTGCATCGATGTGTTAGCTAAAGAGAACTTTTTAGAAAATACATAGGATGTGGATGGGACCAAGGCAGGCTGCAACTGAACCACTTGCATAGTATTAGGCAAATTCCACAACTCTGGGAACTGCTACCAAAGTGTCTGGATCTCGGGTGCATAGTTTTGGATAAACTGTGATTAATGCCAGTAGGCTGGCTGATTGTTGGTTTGGTTTGGTTAGTTCTTTTTCCAGAGGCTTCTCTGGTATTCAAATGCAGAATTTTCTCTAAAATCAGCATAAGCTGGATTCATGAGGTTTTTTATGCCTCTGTTGGCAATCCAGCCTGAATTTCTAATACTTAAAACACTGGCATGTATGTTTAGTTTTAAAATTTGAAGTTACCTCACTGAAATCAATTTATCTATTAGTTTGCTGTCAGTTCAATGTGTGCTGCAGACTGGAAATGGATCTCTGTTGTCTGTTTCTTTTCAACTCATTGTACTTGACGTTATGTTATAGCAATGAAATATTGAACAAATTTTCTTTCATTTGATAAAATGAAAAAATTCTGTCTTCATTTAATTTGACTCTTGCCTTGTTCACAAAGCAAGCAAAAAAACCCCAGTTCTGTGCTTTAGTTTTTTCTTTCTTCAAATCATCCCTGCCTGTCCTGTTTTTCCAGATGGGGCTAGTTTCAAATACTGCCTTCATCAGGTTTTGTCCAGATTCTGGTTGACAAAAGATGCCCTCCAGCAGTGTGCACTGCTTCTCATGGTGTTGCCAGTTTTTACTGCAGCATGACCACAGGAGTAATCCTGAACCTTAAACCTTTGGGTTTTTGATGTTTTTCACTAAAAACATTTTTTAATTGTCTGTTAATCTTTAGTATTAAATTAATACTGTATTTGCACTCTCAAATTCTCTCAAAGCTGTTTTTAATCCTTTACTAAAATACGTATTTCGTATGTTATTTCTGAATCTATTTTAAACCTCCTACCTCCTGTCAATCATAATGCCACAAACACATTTCTAAATCTAAGTGGATTATTTCTCATTTGAGAGAGGTTCCTTGGCTGCCCTACTAATCAAGAGTACTTTCTTTGACTAGCTGCACATCATACATCAACAGTATTGTTTCATTAAAATGTTTTGTAGTGTTTCATAAACCACTAGCTTTTTCAGTGCATGTAAGTTCCATTAGTTACATGCCTTTGTTCACTGTGTAGTTTCTATTTTTGAACCATTGCATTTGTGTATATATTGTTTACATTCTCAGTATATTTATGCTATATTTTTTTACAGTTTCCAGCAGTCAATCATCCACAGTCTTTAGAGAGGCGATACTTGGGAATTTTAAGTGGTGTATTGCTTGATCTTATGAAGGTAGGAAAATGCATTTTATTTTCTGTCTGTAATATGTAGGAAAATATGTAAGTGACTTTTTATCTTTGTTTCCTAATAAGTATATTTTTAAAATACTTGTGAACTTCCTTTTGAGATAGTTTGATATCACCATCATTTGTAGCAAGGCTTGATATTTCCTAGGAATCAGGAAAATATCCCTTGCAAATGCCTGGACAGTCTGTTCAGATTTGACTGATTTGATAAATAATACATAGTCCAGACAAAAGAATCGCCATAATTTGTAGCAATATGCATTCACACTGACATACATTCAGATGCACAGATTACCTTAGAAATGCTGGAATTTGAGCTCTCAACCCATTATAAATTTAGATAAATCCACAGAATATTATGCTAACCTGAGTTGTTCATTTGTAGTTGGATAAGCATGAGGATGTGCACAGTAAAGACAAAGCTGACACACAGTAATTTATTTTTTTTTACCTGAATCCTTAATCTGCTTGCTGTCACACATCTCTGCACAGCATGTATGTTAAGTTACTCTTCAGTCCTGTTTTGGAACAAGTTGGATAGGTAACCATGGCCAAACTTAGGATATGCTCTTGAGATAATTTCTTACAGGGGATCAGGAGAAGCTGTCTCCCCTCAAAATGTCCAAACACAGTAAAGCATTGTGCTATGCATTTGTGCCATATTCCTGGGTATGTTGTCCTTGTTATTTTACTATAAAAACATCTGTTGTGGTAAGCTACAGTACAACCCTCCCATTATTTCATCCACTGTAATCTGAAAAAAAAGTCATAGTGTCAAAAATTAAGTTTAGAATTATAGGGGTGCCACCTAAGAATTAGAGGCAATCTGGGACAAATATGAAGTATTGATATGGCTAATCAACTCTAAATTAATTGCATGGTCCCAAGCCCATCTGCACCAGTTGTCTTGGAAACCAGAGGTTATCCGCTTTGGGGTGTACTTGAGTGTTTACTTGCTTTTAGCAGTATTGATGTAGCCAGCACAAATCCACCAAATTTGCTCTACTCTTTTTCTTTAACACAACCAGTTCAAATAACTTTCATTTAATCTCCCTGCCTTATGAAGAAAGTCAGCATAGCTTTTATCTTGGTTTCATGGAGTCCACAAAATTAGGTACCTCAGTGCATGTAACTGCTTGTTTTGGTGTTATGCATTCTCCTCTATTTTCTAAGTCACAGAAACTTTTTTCGGGCATCATAGTTAGCTGTAGCTCAAGCTGTAGTAGCGTATGTTGCAGAACACCAATTTCAAGATCATTCTTCAGACCATTGTTACATGTGCTGGGGTGGGGTTTATTGTCATTTTATCATAATTTTTATGTTATATATCAGTGTCTTCTGGGTTCTTTTGGTGTGATTTAAAAGTTGCAAAGTCGTGAAATGAAACACTTGTGTTTTAGGGAAACCCAGATTTACACATAATTCCATTCCACTTTAAATAATTCTTTTCAACTTTTCTGTCCGTATTTCTCCCTACAAGGTGAGAAAGGTCAAGGATTCTGTGGAGTGCATCTTTTGTGTTTGGCCTACATTACTTAATTCAGGAGTTTGAACATTGTTAAAGAATGAGCAGAAGACTACAAGAAGAGAACAGAATAGACTTGTGGTTAAGTTGCATGCTACAAATGCTGCACATACTTTGCTGTGTGCCTGTCTCTTCTCCAGAAGCTGGACAGCCTGGCATATGTCCATGCTTGGTGTGTTCCTCATTATCTGCATTCCCAGGGACCTCAGGTCTGATTACTCGATTACTGAATAACCCACACTTTAACTTATGCCACTAAAGTAGTGAGTTCTTGATATGTCTCTATTTAGAGAGCATTTCTGGACTAGATTAACGAAGAGGCATCCGTTTGGCCCTGTTGCTTTGTTGGTCCTCTCCTCCCCTCTCCTTCTCAAATCATGCTGTTTTGCGAGCATGCATTTGGGAATTGGGAGCAGGTTTTGCATGTCATGACTTGGGCAAAAAAGGCATCGAGTGTTTCAGTCTTTTTCGTGTCATCTGTCATTCAGTTGTCTCCCCCATTCGGCAGCAGACATGCATTTTCTCTGAGCTTCTGTTTACTACTAGAATACTTGTAGAACCCCTTTTTTCTACCCTTTATATTCTTCATTTGCCTTAGGTCCAGCTGAACTTTGTCTTTCCAAAGTGGCCTATATGTTGTGCTAACACAGTGCTTTTGTAGTCCTTCTTTATATCCCGCCCTTGACTCTACTTAAATACTCCTGTTTTGCATTTTTGTTCGTTAAGAAGCTCCTTGTTAAGCCTGCCTGACCTTATGCAAAATTTTGTGGTCATTTTTGTGGTACAGTAAGGTACTTTGTTCCTGAACTCTCAGTAAATTTTCTTTAAAAATCAAGTGGCTCTCCTGGACACCTTTCCTCTGATGGCAATTTTTGTAAAATTGTCTGCCCAGTAATTCATTACAGAAGCTGAAGTCTGGTCTCCTGAAATCCCAAGTCCTATCCCTGATGCTTATCTTCCCACCCTTCCTTTGAATCCTAACTGTAATCAGCTCATGATCGCTACAGCTCAGACTGTCTTCTGTGATCCGATTTGTCGCCAGTACTTTAGTGTTGGTGAGCAGCAGGTCGAGTCAAGTCCTGTCCTTGGCTGATTTATCTCTCCAGCAGCTGCACTAGGAAATTGCCACCAACATAGTTTAGAAATCTCCCAGATCATCACTACAGGCTGGATGTCTGGATAGTTGAAGTCTGGCATGAGGATGAGGACCTGTGATCAAGAGGCTTCTGCTTGTTGTAGAGAATTCTCCTCTTCATCATCTTCATGCTCTTCAATGCGTAGTTCGTAGCAAACTGCCACCATAACATCACAAATGCTTCTTTCCCTTCTAATCCTGACTCAAGAGACTGCCAATGGATATACCTACTGTTTCCTACTGGTGTTTGATACCATCCAGGAACCTGGTTGTATGGAGTGCCACTCTTCTCCCTCCTGACCCCTTCAATCTAAAGCCAGCTGTACGCATCACTGACCATGCCTCAGCCGTGAGCCCTGTCCCACTACTTTGCTGTGATTCCAGGCAGGTTCGCAGCCTTGTGATTCACTATAGACTTTCAATTGTCCTTGCTTGTGGTCCAGGCTCTGCAAGTTAGTGTACAGGCACCTGAATGAAGCCTCTGAACATCCTCTCTTCTGAGGAGGAATGTAGAAGTCACGTGTGGCCTTCTCATGGCTGCTTAGACCATTAGAGCCACTGTAGTAACGAGCACCAGAAAAAAGGGGGAAAGAAAAAGTTAATCATTCAGTACACAGCTTGTCACTTGAGAAAGGAAGATGCTGCATACTGTACGACCAAACTACCTAGGAATGTAGTTTGCCACTTGCTTTGTTTCCAGTGCATTTTCCATTTTGAAGTGCAGAAATCCTCTACATCATGGTTTAACCCCACCTGGTAGTAAGTACCACCCGGCTGCTAGCTCACTGCCCCCTGGTGATATGGGGAAGAAAATTGAAAAAGTAAGAGTGAGAAGACTCGTGGGCTGAGATAAAGACAGTTTAATAGGCAAAGCAAAAGCCATGCATTCAAGCAAAGCAAACCAAGGAATTCATTCACTGCTTCTCATCAGCAGGCAGGTGTTCAGCCATCTCCAGGAAAGCAGGGCTCCAGCACACATAACGGTTACTGGGGAAGACAAACGCCATCCCTCTGAACATCTGTCCTCCTTCCTTCTTCTTCCCCCAGCTTTATATGCTGAGCCTGACAGCATATGGTATGGAATATCCCTTTGGTCAGCTGTCACAGCTGTGTCCCCTCCCAGCTTCTTGTGCACCCCCAGCCTACTCACTGGTGGGGTGGGGTGAGAAGCAGAAAAGGCCTTGGCGCTGTGTAAACACTGCTCAGCAACAGCTAAAACATCCCTGTGTTATCAACACTGTTTTCAGCACAAATCCAAACCATAGCCCCATACTAGCTACTTTGAAGAAAATTAACTCTATCCCAGCCAAAACCAGCACACTGTGAAGGGAAAACCAGTTTGTGGTCAAGTGGCTGAATACTGTGTTAATGTACATACAGATATGCATTGTGTGTGTGTATACACATGCATATATACACAGAGTTGTTCTCCGTTCGACCAACATACCCTTAAAAAATAGCTGTTCTTTTTACTTAATAGCCGTTCAAACTTTTATCCTTGTTGACAGTCATGCGTGTTCAAATATTCCAAGATAAGTTTTGTAGTGCCCTGTTCCTCCAAGAAACTTTTAAAACTTATCAAAATACCCAACCTACTGGTTTTCAATTTTGTGATTAAATATTTTCTACATGTCAGAAAGTGTCTTTGTTAGATCTGCTGTGATTCTAAACAGAATTATAAGGCAAATGTTTTTCTGAGTATATTTTAAACAGTTTAGATGATTCTTTAAAAATATGGGTGGACTTGAACCCTAGAAGTAAAAACCAGAACTCTTATATTTGTGTATTGTTAAAAAGACTAACTTTAAAATACTATTTTTGTGTATATAAGAGTGTTCCCATATGGTTGTTCTGTTTGTAAAGCCTGTTTCATTGTAGAATTTTATTACTGGTAAATTTAATAGTTTTCATTCTGAACAACATTGTTGTATGGTATATCCTGAAAAATATGTTTCAAATACATGTATTTTAAATATGTATAGGTATATACATAAAACATTTTTTAATTTTAGATTTTTTTTTATTTTAAGCATATTTTAAGCACACATCACTGCATATGTATGTGTGCATGTGTTCATTATATACATATAGCACTTACATATGTTTGATAATAAGCAAGGCTGAGGCCTTCCATCTCTTAAGTAGAAGATAGCTTTTTAAAGTGTTTATTTTGTATCATATGTTTAATGCAATAGGAAATTATTCTAAGAGTTACATGTAGTCACAAAAACTTTGGAGGTTAAACAACTATCCCAATAATGTCCTTTATTTTTAAATATTTTTTTGCTGATGCAAATACAGATACTAACATTTAAACTTTGGGATTTTTTTTCCAAAGAACTTACTGAAGTTAGATCCAGCTGACAGATATTTGACAGAACAATGTTTGAACCATCCTTCATTTCAAACCCAAAGACTCTTGGATCGCTGTGGAAGCTCACCTTCACGGTCAGCTAAGAGAAAACCTTACCACGTAGACAGCAACACATTATCTAACAGGTAAGTGTATTCCTGTCATTGTCATCACTGATGTTTGCTCTGCCAATGAATGAGTTGAAATCATGCTTACATACAGCATCATCTACAAGAAAAGAAAAGTAGTCGTTTGACAGGTTAGACACATTGAGACATATACTATTCCGTGTTGCCTCACTGAATAATGAAAGTAGACACAGTTTTACTGTGTTATAGCTATTCAAGCTGAAATTTTTGCTAACTTTTTGCATCAGGCTGAATGCTTCTTGAAGAAAAACAAAGACAATATTCAAGCTGTTTCTGCATATGCCAAAGGAAAAATAAGTTGACTTACCTGTCTTAAAAAAAAGATCTTAGCCTTTTTCTTGAACAGTAGGAATTTTGTGGCTTGGAGGATGCCTGAGATTCCAAAGGAATGTTCTTTTCTTTGGAATGCTACCATTACTGTACATGTGCAAATCTGTCCAAGGTTTTGATATTTGAAGGTTCAAAATTCACACAGATTTTTAGCAGCTAAATATCCTGAAAATTGTGTGCATTGATCATGCTCCAGATTGGGGATGAACAGAATTTTGTCTGCAGTTGCAGTTACCAATCAAGTGTAGTCTACTTGAACTTAAAGTAGGCTGTATTTGCTCAGTGACTCCCTTGTTGGACCTGCATAGCTCGAGAGAAACCACTTGGTTTTAATACATCAATGAACCAGTATTACTGGTGGATAAAGTAGTTCAGTACAAAAAGCCTTATGGTAGTCCTCTGACAAAACCTTTCCTAAGGGTCACCCTCTGAAGTATGCAGAATGATAGCTTTTAATTGTAGCCATGTTTTTCTTTAGCTCTTCCTGTGAGATTCAAAAAATTACTCCTCATTTTAAAATTTGGGATGATGACATGTACAATCTATACTTTTTTGGAGATAGACACCAAGAAGTTTTAGCTGCCCTTATAGATATTTAGGATAGAAGTTTTACCATTGGAGATCGGGCATCAGAAAGAAAACCCGAGATCCATGGGTAACTTCTTGTCTAATAAAGGCTTGCCTAGCTGATTGATTTAAAATTACTAGGTTTTGTATATCTGATAAGTTTTTAAAAAATATACTTGCTTTTAACTAAAAGAGATTTTAAACTGCCATTAAAATTGCTAGATTTCTGGAAACTGTAATACAGTACATAATTAGATCACTGAAGGTGGGTAATACAAAAATCCTAATTATAAAAATGGCTAGCATTATCCAATTATAATTAACAAGATCAACAAAGGTAGAAACTCATCTGTACAGTGAGCTCTCACTTTAATGCTCAGTAGTATAACAGAGTTACATTATCATAGATTTGATACAGAAATAGCCAGCCTAGGTCCATCAAGGCTAACAAGTACAGCTACAGCATTGCTCAGTCACGGCTAGTTTGCAATGCCAGCGTAAATCCAGAAGCAGAACTGGTTTTCTGCCAGAAAACCAGAGATAATAAATCCTGCTCAAATAAATTCAGGCTGAGTTTTTGCAGAACCAACTCATATCTCAGTCCCATAATCCCAAAATCAGGAGAGCTGGAAAGTGGAGTAGAGGTTAAGGTCATGACCAAGTAGTTCTGCACCAAGTCAGTCTGGGTTACAGAGCAATTTGGATGCAGCTTTGGGCATGAGTTAGTATGCCAAGAACTGCGATAGTGCCAAGTTCCACAAAAGCTGGCGTTCCTGTGGTAGAACTTGTTTTCAGTTTGGTGTTACAGGGCTTGCTCTGCTGCACTGAGCTCAGGCTCACTCCATCTTGATGTCTTTACCAGCAAAATATCCTCCTTTCACCCTCCTCTCCACTCCCTTCTCCCTCTCCCTCCAAATCAAACATACATTAGATGGCCTGGAGCATTGATTGTATCAGGTTTTTTTGACAGTGCTGAAATACTTCATTCTTCTACCTTCACTTTGATATGCCAGGTGTATTTAGATTTTTTCAATGGTTATACAGCTAATTTTCATAATATATGTGCACATCAATAATGTAAGCACTACATTACTCGCACACATGCATAAATGTGTAATTATATGTTGGAATTTCTATGACTGGATTTTAGATGTTCATTTTTTTTGTCAGCTAAATCCATTAACCAAAGCTGATGTCCATCAAGATATAACCAGAAAGAAACAACAATGTACGAACACTTGCAAATCTGTTATTTTAGTGGAGCTTCTGATGCCTAGTTGGCAGTATTTGATCTTAGAAAAGTTAAATTTTGTGGTTTTAAATGGCAACTCCCTTCTGAAATGAGTGTACTTTTTTGAAGTTATTAATACGTGAATATGTAATCTCGTATATTAATGCTTCTTTATGCATTTTGATGTAGAAATCAAGCCAGCAAAAGTTCTGCTTTGCAGTCACACCACAGATCAAACAGCAAGGACATACAGACCCTAGGGGTTGGCGGGCCAAGAGAAGAAGGTCTTCCAGCAAATGAAAGCTTTTTAAATGGAAACCTTCCTGGAGCTGCACACAGTCCAATGCACGCAAAAAAATCGAGCAACACACCTGGATCTGGCAACAAGGATCTAGCCAATAATAACATGCCACATCTTCTCAGCCCAAAGGAAACAAAGGCAAAAACAGAATTTGATTTTAATGTGGACCCAAAAAGTTCTGATGGTGGAGGCACAAAGTACCTGAAGTCTAACACCAGGTCTCAGCAGAACCGGCACTCATTTATGGAAACTTCTCAAAGCAAAACTGGGACACTGCAACCTGGCGATAAGCACAGTCGCCACAGCTATATTGATACTATCCCACAGTCTTCTAAGAGTCCTTCGTATCGGACAAAGTCAAAGAGCCATGGGGTTCTGACAGACTCAAAATCCGTGGGCAACCTTTCTGAGGCCAGGGCCCAAGCTGCAGAACCAAACAGCAGTAGGTATTTTCCATCCAGCTGTATGGACTTGAACTCTCCTACTAGTCCAACTGCTCCCCGACACAGTGATAACAGAACTTTGCTCAGTCCGTCCGGGAGGAATAACCGCAGTGAGGGTACCCTGGATACCCGAAGACCGTCAACAAGACACTCCAAAACAATGGAGGAGTTAAAACTGCCAGATCACATGGATGGAAGCCATTCCCACTCTCTATCTGCTCCACATGAATCTTTTTCCTATGGTCTAGGTTATACCAGTCCTTTTTCTTCACAGCAGCGCCCTCATAGACACTCTATGTATGTGAGCCGGGACAGAGTGAGGTCAAAGGGCTCAGAGGGTGGCTTAAGCATAGGGCAAGGGATGGCAGCCAGAGCAAACAGCCTGCAACTGTTATCTCCACAGGTGCAGCATAAGTCACTCACAAGATCTGTTGGCTCATCACGAGAAGACTGTACAGAAGATACTAATAGGGTTAGTTCAAAATATTGCCTATTACGGGGGGCTTACTTTCCTCTCTTCACTTCGTGTGGGGACAGCATCCTGCTTTCTCTCTTTTGTTTGTTTGTTTGTATAGTTATTTGTCTTGTTGTAAGGCAAGGGATGATAGGGTTTTTTTTCAGAAGGGCTAAATATTTCAAGTGCAAAATGAAAGGCTATTTAAAATAATTTTTTTTAAATGAACTATGAATACCATTCTCTTAAAGTACTGAAATGCGAGAACAGAAAACCTTTTCTCTGAAGTTAAAATTTCATTAGCGGTTCCTAGTCTTTGTTTACATTGTCTGATGTCATTTTTATCATAATGTTTTGCTTAATTAACCTTCTCATTTGTGTACTTGTTTAGCTTTTCTTGTATGTCTTTCTGTTATGAATGCTAATGTTAATTTTTGAAGTGAGCTTTTCATTCGCTTACAGCAGGACATTATTGCTGAAATGCCATAATTTGCTAGAGGAATATCAAAACTTGCAATATTTCTCTTGCTTAGTATGATAAATAACTGGGGTAGTCTAGAGCTTTTATGTTGGAGAGGCCACTGGTAAATTGACTCTTTACAGTGCTCACTGTCACTAGATACCTTGTTGTGTTTTACTGTGAGCATTATTCAATGAGCAGAGGAAGGACTACTTCTGCTATTCATTTACACTCCTTACACAACACTTCTGAATTATCTGATGCTTTACGCATCAGATATTTAAAGATGACTGCATTTGTCCCCAGATCTTTAAATTGCTATGCCACTGATCCAAATTGGAGCAAAACAGTGCACAGAGAAGTTAAAAAATGAGAGTTTGTTTCTCTATACGTACATCTGTGATAAAGTGACTTCTAGTTCAGATTTGTTGACAAACTGAAGGACATCAAAGAGCTGCAACTATTATTTAAGGTCAAAAAATAGTGCTTTACTGTGAGAGACTAAAAAGCTCTGCCTACTTAATGTAAGAAATATGTTTAACTGAGTTGGTAGTGGTCTACAAGTACCATAAAAAGGAGTTTTCAGGTAGTGGTTGCCTCTTCAGACTAGTAGGGAAAAAAGGCAGAATATGGCTTTTTTTGTACTTACCACGTCTCCATTCAGGATTATGTGTATTCACATATGAGAAAAGATCTCATCAAAATTTTTAGTGTAGTCATTTTTCTCTCTCTTTGATTTCAGTCAAGGTAAATGTTACTTATTCATCAGGATGTTACTGTGGAAGGGCAATAATGCTAACATTTGAGTTTTTCATAATAAAAGCTCATGCTATCTTATATTCTTCAAAACATTGGGATCTTTTTCTGCATTTTGTTAGCAGGGATTAATTTGAGAAGTAATTTTAATTTTATTTCATATTATGTAGAGGCAGATAGTTTTTATTAGATCATTCATTGCCTTTTGACAATTGGATGACAGATTTTTATTTTAATTAGAAAAATTGATGTATATCTTAATGCTTACATTTTGTTAATTTTGGTTTGCTTTGGAATGCCTCATTTGTAAAGCACTTGCCTTTACTTCTTGTGGTCAGTGTTTTTAAACTTAAGCCTTCAATTAATGCTTTTAAATCTGTATTTCAGCCATCACAAGTCTGAAAGGAAGACCTGTAAATTCACAAAGCTGTTTTTGTTTGTTTATACTACCTGCAATAACAAATCAGAATCAAATTGTCAGTCTTCTTATGCCTTGTAAAGGCGTTTTCACAGTCATTCTTTGGCTCCTTCCTATCTTTTTTTTTTCTTTTTTTTTTTTTTTTTTTTTGCTAAATGCTGCATTAGAAATCATAAAATCTAACCTCTCAGGATGACTGAAGTAAAAAAAAAAAAAAATCAAGAAAAGCATTCTCAAAGATTATTGTTTTCCTATTTTTTTCCATTCAGTTCTACTGGTTCTCTATTTCTGCTCATATTTTGTGAAGGTTTCTCACTTCCATGTTTTTAGTTTCTCATTGATTTTCTCTTTAGCTCTACCAAGTCTTTTGAAAGCGAAGCATTGTTTGTTTGCCAGGCTTTAAATCTTACTTTTTAAAAAAAAAGAGAAAAAAGAAAAAAAAAGTCTCGCATTCAGTGTTAACTTAATGGCTTTTCAAGTCTCAGTACAACTTTTGTTTTAAGGGTTATTTTTTATTTTAAAATAAATGTACACAAAGGGGGCAAGCAGAAGAGAATCAAGTACAAGTTGCTATTACTGTCTCATATTTGTAACTTAACTGCTGACAAAGAAGAGGTGTCTTACACAAGTAGTAATTTAATCAAATGCTTCAACCTCTTGTAAATTTTAGAAGAATCAAACTGTGATTTAAAGCATTGTTTTAACTCCATTTCTCATCTTGGCACAGTTTCAAGGGTTGTATTACCTGTGACAGTGAGGCCAGATCTTCATTAATTTTTATCACTCATGCAATGAATTGAAATCCCAGTTTTTACTTCTGGTTGGGTTTTTTCTTTCTTGGACATTCTAGATTTAAATTGAAGTTGGGGTTTCAGTACAGTTTCCTGCGGGGTTTTGTAGAGAGTATTGAATTTTATCTGGTCAGTCTGCACTGTGGGAAAAATTGCAGCATCTGGTTCATTTAAGGGTGAAGTCAAGTCGTATTTGGTGGCAAATTACTTGCATATGAATGTTTCTGAGGGCATACTTAAGCTTTTGCTTGAAGTACCTTCCAGGAAGTACAGTATTCAGGAAAACAGAGTAAATTAGAGGTAATAATATTCTTTCTGCTATCCTGTCTGACGTAATGAGCTTATAGATTTCTTAGTTCAGGGACTACCTCTTATTTTGCATATAGTAGATTTTGTTGTCCGTTGGTACCTCTAGGTACTACTGCATAACAGCTGATAAGAGATCACGCTTCGGTGTTGCAATTATCACAACTTATACTCATTTCCTGTTTGCTTTTTAAAATCCGCCAGTAGCAAAGTGACAAGATTCTATCAGAAATTAATTTGACAAGGCCTCCAGTAAAAGTTTCCTCCAGAGATGTTACAACTGCATTTCATTCACAGCCAGAATCTGTGGGTTTGAATCATTCTCAAGTCTTTAAAATTACAACTAAGAGGAAAAAATTTTATTAATGCCATTTTGGAAAAAGCAAGCAAGCAGCAAAACTAAATAATTATTGTTTGCATAGTCTGTGAGTTGATATTGGCAGTTATTAATAACATGAAAGGGAAATTGTGTATGGTTAAGTTTGGTGTTTCTTGCTTATGTGTGTTGGTTTAAAAACAGAAAATCAGTCTTTCATTTTATATAGTTGATTGTTCTTTTGTTTAGGGTGGAGCATATCATGATCCACACACAGAAGATGGAGCATCTACTAAGGAAAATAGAATTCTGTATAATGACCCTGTTCCGAGAAGAGTTGGCAGCTTTTACAGAGGTAATTTTATGGTGGATCTTTCAAAATTAAACCAGAATTTTAACATGGAGAATAAACTAAGTATTGGAAATGGATACAGGTATGGAGAACTAACACGAACAACTAAAACAGTTTATTGAAAAAAGAATTGTTACCCCACTTTCAGAGACTGGGTTGACGTGCTAGGATGTATGCAGTAACTGTGTTAATATCATAATATCTGTTTGCAAATTATAACTCATTTCAATTGAAAAGTATATCCAGTGCACTACCTTGTAAAGCAGGAGATATTTGGGGAAGCTGAACAAAATAAATTAATATTACCAGAGTAAACAGTTCATTAATGTTTTTAGTTGATATTTTAAGTGCTTATCAACATTATATCTAAACTGCTTTGTACTTGTAGCACATTGCCATACATACTGATTTATTTCAGACACTGTGGTGCATGGAACTGTAATGCTAGTTTTTCACTGGTTGAAACCTATATTAATTTCTTTTGTTCAGACTTATTAAAGATCAGGGTTTCCTAGAAGCAAAAGCATGTTTATATCATCTCAGTTCAGAATAAATAATAACACAGAACTGTGTATGTGCGAATATATATATGTATCTGTGTGCATAGAGATATATATATATATATATATACACACACACATCCTGATAGATACTGTTCTGTTATGGTACACTAAAGGTGGTGACTTCTGAGCAGCTGCCTCATGGCTAAACCTGGGTAATCCTTTCAAAAAAGGGCAAGGATGGTAAGAAGCTAATTACTGTCCTGCAAGTGTTAGGAGACTTGTGGGACTCCCCTGAACCTTAAGAAGTTCCAATCAGCTAAAATTCGATTATGAGTCACCTAATAACCTTAAGTGGAGTCACAAATCTCCCTCTGATCCTCTTCAGGTTGATCAGTTGGCTGATGACCTGATTTAGACATGTTAAAATCTGCCAATCCTGGCAAGTGTGCCATTGCAATATTAAAGCCTGTGAGCAATATTAAAGCTTGTACTGTTTTGAGCAATGGTTTTGAGTTTAAGGTTTTGTAGCACATGCAACAGAGAATCCTTAAGAATCCTCAGTCCTGAATTGTCTTTGTTAATCCTTAAAACACTCCTGAACTTGGACATGGATTATCCTTTTTTTATACATAGTGAAACAAGTTCCAAGGAAGAATGACTTTCCATGAGCTGTGTGTTAAGAAAACTGGAGGTCTGGGGCTGCATTCAATTCCATATTATAAACTATAGGTTTTCTCCTCTTTAATTGTGTCTATGAAACAAATATATTTTAGTTCATAGACTTAATTATTTCATTGGAAAAGTGCTACTATATTTAACTAATACATAGATCATAGTATATGAAAAAATGATTGCAATAAAAAGTTGCTATGAAAAAAAGTAAATTCATATTTATGCAGTTCTTAAGTACTGATTTAATACAAGTGTTTTTAGCATGTACTTTGTACTACAGCTTGAACAAAAACTTACAGATTCAGTTTTGATAAACAGTATAGTGTGATGCTGCAGTAATGCTGCAATTAGTGTCTGATCAGTTTTTAATTCAGTGCAGGTATTTCTGGTGGTATTCATAATTCTAATAAATTTATGTTCTAGGTATGTATAACCTATTTTCAAATCCAGTGTATGTCTGTTTAAAAAAATATGATATCTGATTTTGATTCTTTTCTTTTTTAGTGAGTAATCTCTTACTCTTAGTTGTTTCAAAATACAAAGTAATTTTTTTCAGTATGGGTACTGGGTTTTTTTTAAGGTGTAAGTGAAGACAAAATGTAAACTGGAGAACTTTGTGTCTTTAATAAGAGCATTCCAACCTTTATTCTATTTCCTGTTTTGAAATATCGATCACATTTATGGCTCCTTACAGATAGAAATGTTCTCAAATCTAATAACAACTTTCCCAACTTCTGATGATGGTCTCATTAAAACTGATACTACCATGCAAGTATCACAGAACAACAGCTTTCCAACTGTAAAAAAAAGTATGCCTTTTTTCAGTCATACATAAAGTACAACTGTGTCTTCACTATCTTGTTTCTGTAAAAGAGGTAGAGAGGAAGCAGACAACTAAAAGATGAGATTTTAGGCAGAGCTCTGTATACATTGTTTGCTGTTTCTCTGTTCAGTTCCATCTCCGCGTCCGGACAGTACGTACGTAGAAAACAATGTGTCAAACAGAGCCTCTGTGTTACCAGCAGACAGCAGCACGGTGACAAACCACTCAAAGAGACAAACCACCTTTGATACCTGGTGAGTTGTTATTTACACAGATGTGTAGAGAATGGCAGGAAAAAGAGGGATTTTTAACAGGAGGGAAGACAACCCTGCGTTCTTATCAAAATTTGCAATTGCCTATATGTGCTTCGTTGCTTCTTCTGACTATACTGCCATAGCATTGCATGTTTTCTGTCCTATTTTAAGCAACAAGAAATACTTCATTACACCATCATACTGAATGCATTAAAGTTTATATACTTTTGTCCAGTCTTTCCTGACTTTTTTGCACTATTAATCTTTAGTTAAAGATAATACAAAGTGCTTTTGTGCTTATAGTATGGATAGCAAGGCTGTAGCTTCATCTGTGGGTTCCAGAAGCATGAATTGTCATACAAATGGAAAAAAAAAAATCAAAATGCATGTTTCCATATATAAAATAGGACTGTATTAATGAAGAATATAATATTCATCCTGCAATGGGGACTGCTGCTCTTTTTGCTTATGTACCACAGGAGGAAATGAGTACATTCTATGGGAAAATGGACTAAGCAACATCTTAATGGTGTATATTGATTTTAAAGGATTAAAAGTATCACATGGCTCCATTATATAACATAGAAAAATTGACTATAATTATGCTAATCGAATGACAGCATATGCATAGCTTTGCAGGACTTAAAGGGAAATATCTTAATTTTGTTGCTCTGAGAGCTGTTCAGTTCTAAAATACTCTTAATCTACTTTGTTCAATCACAATAAAGCACACTGAATAAAAATAAGCAAACAGAGCTTCAAAGGTCTGGTGGGAGAAATGGATTGTATGCATTTGCATGGTTCAGCTATGCTTTGTGCCCCTGTCTGAAACACTGCTCTGTGAAAGTGCGATAAAATCATGCAATCTAAAGAACTGTGTCAGTGGTTTGTTGACTTAATGTGTTTTCACATGAACAACCTGTGAATTATTTGATAAAAAAAGAAAGGGAGGGTGTGGGTAAAGGAAACAAGTGGTATTTCAGCTTGTGTTCAGGTTCTGTACCCATATCAGTAATAGCAGATGTTTACTCCAGAACCCTTGTCACGTGCTCTGATTCACTAGAGTCTGCTTCCTGTCCTTCAGTAGCTCCACCTACATCCATTTTGTGGAAGTTAGCTGAGGAATCCGGTCATTTATGTAAAAAGGTGGTACTTATGTGGCTAAAGAAGGTATTTATTCCTACTGTTGAACCCTTTTACATATTTTGTTGTCCTTCGTATCTGAATCTTATTATCTTGCATATAACATAAGCCAACTGGAATCTTGTTTTGCTTTTTATATCATTTGGCAGTATATTACCTTTTATTATGTGGTCACTGCAAAGAAACATGTAATGTTATTTTAACTCTGAACTGAAATAATAGCATATGTTATTAGAGCTGGTTGGGAATTTTTTTACTAAGTATTTTTTTTTTCTTACAATGCCAAATTACCAAAACCATAATTTTTCAAAGGAACAGACCAATATCCACTAACCTTTTATTGGGAAGATTCTTCAGCTCGAGGATGGAATTACCAGTCAAAACCAGGACCTACTCAAAGTAACAAATGTTCTAGGGTCAGCATTATTTTTTGGAATGTGAAGAACACATGTACAGGGCCCTTGTTCTTCATTATTTTAACCAGAGGTTTGAACCATGATCTTAGATCTAACAAGTGAACGCCCTGAACCAGAAGTTAGAGGTTGTTTTGGAGCACATTCTCTGTTTCCCACAGTATATTCTCCTGAAGCTGTTTCATCTTGTTGAAATAGTGAAAGGACCACAGAGATGCTGAATATGGCCTAGTGAATAAGGCCCTTCATTAACTTTGAGATAGATTTAAGTCCTTGCTCTAGTTAATGTACTCAGATATTTTCACAAAGTGGAACAGCTCCTTTGAGAGAAGAACCTGCATAAGAATAAGCATTTCTTCTGATGAAATGGGAGGAATGGCAGTGCCCACAACACCAAGTTACTGCTATTTGGGCATTCATTCCTCTTTGTCTTTGCTTTTCCTACTCCCTATTTTCCTGAAAATGTTTCCTGCCCAGCTCTACATGTTAACTCTGTGGAAGTTGTCCTGGCAATGGTGTAATGTTGTTGCAAAATTGTTCTGTGCCATAAATGCAGCTTAATCAGATTCCCGAGTGATGTAGAGTCTATGTTCCTCTACCTAATTTTCTGTATAGAAGTTGTGTAAACGCTTACGAAAATGTTGAAAGCTCTAATGGAATGTGATTCTGCTTACATCAATTTTACAATGAAGTAAATATTTGATGTTTGACTGACATACGTAACTGGTACATGACAATTCATCTTGAATTATGAGTGACATGTATTCCACCTGGACTTGCCACTACTGTAAAATATTGCTTCTCTCGTACTATTGCTTTGTGTTGCCTTTCTTCTGTCAAAGATTTTGTGAATGTTTGCTAGACTGAATTGTCACAGATGTTCCCTTGTCTTTGTGTGCATTTCTTCACTCTGTCCCCACTGTCCTGCCTCTTTAAAATAAAGATGTTATAAACTCAACTTTCGTCATCAGGTTTTACTCTTACATGACTAGACCATTTCTGAACTTTAGGCAACTTGATTTGAAAAAAAAAAAGGCAAATTTTTCATCCTTCTAGAAAACCTGTTTGCCAGAGTCTAATTTCCTGTAAATGACCATGAACTTGCTCAATTTTTCCTTTTTGATAAAAGAGTAGATGTTTTATTCTCTTTCACTTGTACGAGCTTTGTCTTGAGCTGGGCAAAATCAGTAGGTATAGCCAAGATGCTTAATTTTGTTTTGACAGTGTGCCAAAATATTGGTTTGAGTTATCTCTACCATTGTTACAGTTCTAAATATCTCTTTGGAATAAACTCCAACATCCAGTACTTTACCTCACATCATATTGGAAGTGTTTGCATTGATTGCTTATGAGATATTTGGGGGCTTCTTGAAAGCGTTGTTTTTTAGACCTTTTATGTCCATATAAATGTATCATATCTTCTCTAGCATATCTTCCTGCAAAAATAATAACAAGGAGAAATATTTTTTTTATTTTTGTATGTATATAAGATATATATAAACACACACAAACTGTCATTCAATAAAAGAACAAAAAAAATCCTACTCTTAGGAACATCAAAGGCTTACAATTATCTATCTGTCATTAATTTTCAAGACTCCAGAACAATACAGTATTTTGTGAACGTGACATGACTGCTATAATATCACTGTTTGAGTATTAGTGTTCCTGAAACTAGAAGGTTACCAATATCTGAGCAAGCTAGTTTAAAGCTTGTTCAAGTGTGTCTGCAGCACAACTGTTGCTGCATTGTAAATAATTTCCAGTTCTTTTACAGAATTCTTGAATTAAAAAAAAAAAAAAATCAGGACATTTCAGATTTGTAACTTGCAAGCTTAAAAATCACCTGTGTATGTTACACTGGTTAAGGCTTTAGGAAGCTGCTCTGCGTACCTGGAAGACGATCACCTTCCTAATGGTATAGTGTTCCCTCTGACATATCCTGCACACGACTCTTGCATATTGGATTGTCATCCAATATGTTTGCTTTATTCATCTATTTGGGAACATCTGAGCCTCCCTACTAGTCTTTTCTAGTAACCAGTGCCTCTTCTGTGACCCTTTCCCCATCATCAGTGGTTTTGTTTTGTACTAAAAATTAGATGATGCAGTCTAATGTTATTTGCAAGGAAGCTTTCCAGAATTTGTAGTCATTAATATTACATCCAAAAAAATAAGCCTGGTGAAGTACATGCTTTATAAGTTTACAAAACCAACCACTTCCAAATTTTTATGGTTACTAATGTTGAATGGTGGGAGTGTCTGAAATGTATGTGTGTATATATACATTTATATGTATACTTTTTTAGCGATGCCATAACCTCGGGTGATTTAGTGGCTTCTGGGTGATATTCTGTATATTAGATAGTAGGTCTGGGGCTTATTCCAGTTAATAAATCCTCCTTTTCCACATGAAAAAAAAAAAAAAAAAATTGTAGCTCCATGAAAAGTCAAGATTCAGTCTCTGGTTTTTAAGCTTTCAATGCCAGGCTTTTAGACCAAGAAGTTTTACTATGGGCTTCAGCTTGCAGGATTGAGATTCTTACCTTAAGTAAACCATCTGTTTGAGGTGTGTCATTAGTTTTTTGACATTTTCTTGCCTTTGTTTATGGTAACTCTGTAACTGCCAAGGGTTTTAGTTTAAAGAAAACCAAAAACTAACTTGGAGAATTAGTGTTTGTTCATTTATCTTCTGAAGAAAAGTGCAGACATTTCAGTAACTCCTCCATTAGACCAAAATCTTCCTTGTGTAATTGTGAGCAGTTCAGTAAAGGGAGTAGTATACTGGCAGTTAAAGACAATTTCCAAGACAGCCTGCCTGCTAAGATTAGGGCTGCTAAAGAATAACAAGCATGAGGAATTGCATCCCAAAAAGAGCTGTCTGCAATATGGATCTATCTATGGCAGCATGAATGTGGCATGCTTCCTATTTATTCTTGTTAATTAATAGTAAAGCACATCAGCTTGCTTGCCCCATGCCTGTTTCCTGCTACACCTCATTGTACCTGCACGAGTTGGATACCTTTCATGCCAGGGGCAATATATGCTAGTGATAATCGCAGACTTTCTATTTATACCTATGCCTTTTACAAGTGTCTCAGACCAGAATAACCCATGTGATCTACATTATATATCCTAATAATGCAAAAGGCACACAAAGATAAAATGACAAAGAACAGCACATTTTGCCTGTGGTTTCTGCTTCAGAGTGAGCTCTCTGAGTGGGGGCTCTTCTCTTGGTATAGTCTTACTTGCTTGTAAAAGAGACACTGCGTAACAGATTCTGGTATAACTGTTTGCTTTCAAGAGCTAAAGCTTTATGCAAAATACCAAGATACTTGCAGTTATATTGTAAGAGATTAGGGTTGTGTGACTATACCATACAGATTTTTTTCTGATAATCTTAATTTTTTCCTGTACTGTCCATTGTCAGAAAGTCATCTTTTGGGATGCCTAAAATATCCCAGTGTTTCATCTCATCGATAAAAATGTTCTGCTCTATTTTTATGCAGTACAAAATCCTGGTGTTGAAGCTTCCTGCTATAATGCTATATATGTTCACTCTCTTCACATAATGAGCATGTGTTTTGAAGCAGTTGCTTTTCAAGGTCAATGCTTTTTCAGACAACTGTACTGCAATATGAGTCATAGGAGTTAATGACATAAACCAGTTGGTATAAAACCACTGGCTTTTAGGTAACCAGAAATTGAAAATTGAAAATGAGCAGAGTTCTCAGCCCCTTATTTTTCTCCTCTGTCTGGTCACTATAGTCATAAAGAGGAAATTATGGTGCAGAATTGTACTTCTCTTTGATCGTCTGCTGTAGGGAGCCGCTTTCCCATCCAGGTTCACTGGGCCAAAGAAAAGAATTTACACTTGAGTGAATCTCTGTCTAAAAGCATGACAAAAATTGTCCCAAGCTTTATTCTGAAGATTAAATTCACCTTTAAAAATACAGCATCTCAGTTTTGGAATACACTTCGGAACAGAAAAGCTATAGCCAGACATGGAAAAAATTTAAAGGGCAATGTAGAGTAACCACATGGGGACTTCCTTATCATCTGACACTGGTTCCTGAGCAGGAAGCATAGTCACTGGGTTGGTAATTTGTACTGGCGCTGTTGTTTGGGGCATGTTTGCAGATGTGGATGCACAGTAGCTCCTCTGGAGAAAGGCTCAGAAGATTCTCTGCCCCATTCACATGACTTTCAGAGTACAAGCAGGATCCTTGGGGTGTGTGGTTTCCTCCAACTTTTCTAACAAATTAAGTAAAAATCATTTAGTAAATAATTCAGTAGGTGTTTTGTCTGTATTAAGTCAGTCTCGTGAGTTCACCAAATCTGTAAAGCTGTTGGTAGTCTTTACTCTCGGGCTTTCTCTTTGGTGCTTTAAGTGAATAATATAAGACTGCCTTACTACTGTTACACAGTGGTACCAAATCCATGGATATGACAGAAACAGGAAACCTTAGCAATCCAGTATATTTAAAATATATATTATAAAGCTAATAATTATATTAGTGATTTTTCCAGTAGCATTGTAATTATCTTGTTAAATCTATGTTGTTGTGCACTTGAATGTGTTTCCTGGATCTAGATGTAAGTTCCAAAAATTTAAATTAGAAATATTTCCACCATTCTCTCTACTTACAAATCTTCCTTTTAAGCCCATTCTCTTACTCAACAATTGTACTTTATTACAACGTTTAAACACTGCATGGATTTATACTTAGAACCAGGTAGCATTTCGAGCTTGAGGTGGTTTTGTATAGAAATTGAGGAACTGATGAAACCACCTGTCAGAATGAAGATACTCTTGTCAATAAGGATGATGACTCCAGTGTTTCCTACCCCAATTATATGTTTCACATTTGCTTGGAAAAAAAAGTCAGCTTGGCATGTAGTAGCAGCTGAGTCACCAGCTGATAGCATAGCATTTAAAGCCAGAATTAGAAGCCAGAGATAACTCTAACAGACAGCTAAGTGTTGCTACATTACAGTTGCTCCAAGAAAAGCAGCTCCTGTTTGTCATCCAGAGCCCTTAGAACTGTGTCTTTCCTTTAGGTTTTCCATCAAGACAATGGAATAATTTCTTTTTTTTTCATACAACTTTGAGTGAAAAAGGTCTATTAAATCACTCAGTATGATTTTCTATATGTTAGTTGCCATTAAATATCATCCATTCTTGGGGGTCCATGCCTGTCAGCATACCTGACGAATGTGTGTCTCCGAGGAGAGCATACAGTCCTGATTTGAAATGTCAAAGATGGTAAACCCATGTCTTCACCGAGGAGTTTGTTCTGGCAGTTAATGATTCTCATTGTTAAAATCAGTGCCTTATTTCCAATATGACTTCTCTGGCTTCATCATCCACCTACTTGTTATGTCTTTGCCGTTTACTTTCAAGATCCTTCTAGTAGTCTAATTTCTTCCTAGATAAGTACTTGTACGCCGCAATCAAGGAAACTAAATGTTGGGGCTGGTTTGGCTGTGTTCTTTAACGTACTACAGAGATTGAAGTATCTGACTCTTCTAATGTGGGCCATTCTTTCTATCTCTGAAATTATTTTTGTGACACTTTCCTGCACCATTTCCAATTTTCAAACTATTTTAGAGGGCACTAGAACTACATTCAGTTATGTCTTACCAGTGTCCTACGTAAAACATTTTTTTGCCCCATATCCGTACTTTACATATGTAGTTTACTGTGTATACTTAAAGCAACATGCCATTGATCAGCTGTAGTTAATTCAGCTGTGTATGCAAGTTAAAAGACAGAAATTCAATCTTCAGGCAAGTCACCTGTTCCACTTTCGGGTCATCTTTTTTTGCCAGCACTGTCTCACCCACACATAACAAACTAACTGAAGTTTTTAAGTTGAAATGGACAACAGTAGATCCCCAGCTTCCCTGGTGATAATTTTGGAACTATGTCAGCAAAGGTCAGGAAGTTTGAGCGAAATTGGTTCTCTCAGGTGAACTTTGCAACTCCCTGGCTCTCCAGCAAGCAATGGATAAACTGGACCAGTGCTTTTATACCTCATCACCATTGTATGTTCTCTCAGAAATGATTTTCATTTTTCTAAAAGACATTGTCTGTAATATTTTAGTTTTAATATTAAATTCTGTCTTTAAAAAAAAAAAAGGACATGCATGCTTTCCTTTTCCCTAAATAACTGTTCACTGGTTTGAGCTAATCGTTTTACCCTAACACTGTGTTTCTCCTGTCCCATTTAATAAGACTATTTATCTGGTATTTGTATAGTATCCCTTGAACCAATGAATGCTAAAACATTAAGAATCTTTTTGCTTTAATCAATAATTTGCATTCTTTGGCATAAGATTTCATTATTACACAGAATTTACATAATATCAAAATAAAATCTCTCTTACAATACCTTATTTCATGTTTAGGAAAAGTCCTGAAAACCTTAACAGTCACTCAGAACAGCTCAAGGAGAAAGAAAAGCAAGGTTTTTTCAGGGCAATAAAAAAGAAAAAGAAGAAATCTCAAACAGTAAGTATACAGTATTTCTAAAAGAAAATATGTTTATCAGTTCTGAATGATACCATTTTAATATCCTAGATTAGTACAGTACCTTTGTATTATCTGCGATCATGCCTGCACATGGCTATTTGTTCTTTGGTTTTCTCTCTTCACTATGTGAAAGTCAAATTCTTTCCCTGTTCAGGGTTTATTTATCTGCCTCTTAAAATATTTCTTCACCTACTAGTCCTGTGCATCTTTGTTTTCATTCAGACCCTTTGAGAGCCAGTTTTGATGCAAGTTTTAAGCTTATGTTGCAGCAAATTCTTTTGTAGGATATGGTGATACCATTCCAAGAACAGCAAATGCATCATTATGTGTCCTCAGAGCTTGACTAATTTCAGATACCTGTTAGGAAGTGATCAAACTGTTATAAAAAAGAATTCTTTCCAGTCTTTTTCATGGCAGTTTGTTGATAACAGCCTCCAAATTGCCGCACCCTGTGGTGGGAATAAGGATGATGTGTCTTAACTACTCTTAACGTTTCGTGTTTTACTGGGGGAATGGCTTGTGGCTTTTCTTAGTTGGTATAAGCCTTTGGTGTCCTTTATATCTTTTTTTTTTTTCCCCATCTAGTTTTTAGGAGGCAGAAAGAACTTTCTTTACCAGAGGGCAGTGATATATTAACATTTCACAAAGTTTTATGATGAACATCTCCCTAAGAACTAAAGCAACCTAAACATGACAGTTCTGGAAAGAGTAAAATATTTACAATTTCATTTACATAAAGTTGCAATGTTTCTGTAAGTGTAACTGCAGTTAGAGATTTGAAGGTTCTCAGAATGGAGTAAATCAAGCACACTCCTGGAGAAAGGAAGTAACTAAATCAGAATATCTACTGCCATGGAGTGAGGTGGCATGACCCTGGGTGTTGGTGGAGGGCTGATCTGTTGAAAATTGGGGAAGAGGAATGATTATCAGGCTTTTTTGTGTGTGTGGTTTTTTTTAGTTTTATAGAACTGTATGGAACGTGTGTGTGTGTGTGTTAACTAGCACTCAAAAATCTACCTTGTCTTTCTGTGAGGCAGGTTTTAGAGCAGTGGCATTTACCTCTCCTGAATTTTTTCATCCTGATACCTGTACCCAGTTCTCATGCAATCATTTGCACTACACAACTGAACAAAATTCATGGATTATAACTCTGGGATTATTTAAGATCAAAATGTCCATGAAAGCATAGCACACCGAAGGCCATTGGTTCCAGTGATGTACTGTCAAAAAAAAAAAAAAAAAAAAAAAAAAAAATTTAAATTTTCACCATTCTAGTCTACTCTGATTCCAGCCATTCAGATGGGCTGGCAAGGAACTCTGTAAAATTTAATGCAATTTAACAAGAGCA